AACAAAAATTATAAATTAAGAACTACTTTAGCTCTAGATAGTTGTAATGTTAACGATGATAAAATATTGTAAATACATAGAGTGAGCCGAAAGTTTCTTCTCGCCTAAAGAACTAGTTTTACTAATTTTAAATTAAATTCAACATGAACTTAATTAGTGTACTTCAATCTGTAAGAAACAAGAGATTAAAGAAATACATGATAGAAAAAAAGTTACTAGGATTTATTTTAAAATAAATAAGTGGCAATATACGTAGAGCTATTTTGCTAATTATTTCAAACATTTAATTCAATTGTACTGATAATGGCACTAGTAACATTGTGCAGAATATTACCAGCAATTGTACGTAAAAATTAAATATAATTTACTTGTACTCAGGTGTAAATACATCGTATGAATATGCTACGTTTCTACAATTGAACGAACACCTGGAATCTGAAACGAAAGGGACAGATTCGCAACAGATTCTCCTTCTTCGCGATATCTTTTTTACGTCGTTCTTGAAACAAAACTCCAACATCTGTAAATCGAATTCCAATTCGATGACTTTCGAACGGGCAGGATACGAAAATCGGAAAATACGCGAGAATAACTCTGATTTCCAGCTGTTAATCCGCTTGGGTCCTTAATTAACGACCTTGACACTTGCGTGCGACATGAAGTCCCTCCGTCAATTTAGGAGAACTTTCACCGAAAGTTACAGAAATTCCCACGTGGCCATAGAACTTCGTTGCTGTGGAATGCAGGGACGGAAATATTGCGAGGTAATAAACAGTACGTATATGCCTGTAATTTTATTTCGGGGACAATGAACGATTAACCGGTGTTTGTTACTTTGTTCGCAGGTGCAAAATCTAACGTCACTTGAGGGATGGTCATTTCGTTTACGAAAATCCCATCTCACTTCTGTCCGAAGTTCAGGAAAAAATTCTGCATGTTCGATCGACGACGATCACGAGTCAGAAAAACACTATGGAACACGAGATAGATCATTTAGAAAGCACCTTCGTCTTCGTATAACGGTGATGCGGGAACGAGAAGAGACGAGGGAGAGACAAATGCATTAAGGGGTGTGATCTCGAAAATGGCGTCGGCCCGAATTTATTTTTGGTGCATTCCAGTCAAACGAACGCCGACAGAGAGAGAGAGAGAGAGAGAGAGAGAGAGAGAGAGAGAGAGAGA